GTCTATTGAAATTAGATGCATGGAGATGTGTGTATTTGCTTTGAAGCCAGCTCTGTTGATAAAGGCATTGACAACTAAATCCAGCACTTTTTTTGCATTCCACATTTATTGCATCCATAAGTTCACTTGCATCCAATTTCATCACCAAATGTTATGACATTTACTTTTACACAAATGTTGTCCATTCTGTATCAATCCACAGTGCCATAATATCTCAGATGTCTCTTAAATATCCTAGTGAGGCTGCCTCTTGTACCATGCACAGGTCAGAGTTAAATTTACGGGAGTGATTTCTCATCTCCTCAGTTATACAGGGAATCTTTGCAGGGCCCCTGGGTGGAACAGCGGATTAAACCTCTGAGCTGCTGAAATTGCTGACCAAAAGGTTGGCAGTTCGAATCTGGGGAGCAGGGTGAGCCCAGCTTCTGCCAACCTAGAAGTTTGAAAATATGCAAACATAAGTAGATCAATAGGTACCACTTCTGCAGGAAGGTAACAGCACTCCATGCCGGCCACATGACCTTGGAGATGTCTACGGACAACACTGGCTCTTTGCCTTAGAAATAGAAATGAGCACCAACCCCCAGAGTTAGACACGACTAGACTTAATGTCAGGAGAAACATTTACCTTTGTCCCCAGCTATGCTAAAGAAAGGCATTTTACTTTTTTTCTCTTCTGATTTTCCTGTTCTTCCCTCTTTCCTGTCATCTTCTTAAACAATATTCCTTCCACTGCAGCCAGTTCTTTTTACAGTTAGTAAGTACATGTTGTTGTTGTTCATTCGTTCAGTCGTCTCCAACTCTTCGTGACCTCATGGACCAGCCCACGCCAGAGCTCCCTGTCGGCCGTCACCACCCCCAGCTCCTTCAAGGTCAGTCCAGTCACTTCAAGGATGCCATCCATCCATCTTGCCCTTGGTCGCCCCTCTTCCTTTTGCCTTCCACTTTCCCCAGCATAATTGTCTTCTCTAGGCTTTCCTGTCTCCTCATGATGTGGCCAAAGTACTTCAGCTTTGTCTCTAGTATCCTTCCCTCCAACGAGCAGTCGGGCTTTATTTCCTGAGGATGGACTGGTTGGATCTTCTCGCAGTCCAAGGCACTCTCAGAACTTTCCTCCAACACCACAGCTCAAAAGCATCGATCTTCCTTCGCTCAGCCTTCCCTAAGGTCCAGCTCTCACATCCGTAGGTTACTACAGGGAAGACCATGGCTTTGACTAGGCGGATCTTTGTTGCCAGTGTGATGTCTCTACTCTTTACTATTTTATCGAGACTGGACATTGCTCTCCTCCCAAGAAGTAAGCGTCTTCTGATTTCCTGGCCACAGTCTGCATCTGCAGTCATCTTTGCACCTAGAAATACAAAGTCTGTCACGGCCTCCATGGTTTCTCCCTCTATTTTCCAGTTGTCAATCATTCTTGTTGCCATAATCTTGGTTTTTTGACGTTTAGCTGCAACCCGGCTTTTGCGCTTTCTTCTTTCACCTTGATTAGAAGGCTCCTCAGCTCCTCCTCGCTTTCGGCCATCAGAGTGGTGTCATCTGCATATCTGAGGTTGTTAATGTTTCTTCCAGCAATTTTCACCCCAGCTTTGCATTCATCAAGCCCCGCACATCGCATGATGTGTTCTGCATACAAGTTAAAAGGTTGGGTGAGAGGATGCAGCCTTGCTGTACGCCTTTCCCAATCTTGAACCAGTCTGTTGTTCCGTGGTCAGTTCTGACTGTTGCTACTTGGTCCTTGTACAGATTCCTCAGGAGAGAGACAAGGTGGCTTGGGATGCCCATCCCACTACGAACTTGCCACAATTTATTATGATCCACACAGTCAAAGGCTTTAGAATAGTCAATGAAGCAGAAGTAGATGTTTTTCTGAAACTCCCTGCCTTTCTCCATTATCCAGCGGATATTGGCAATCTGGTCTCTCGTTCCTCTGCCTTTTCTAAACCCAGCTTGAACGTCTGGCAACTCTCGCTCCATGTATTGCTGGAGTCTTCCTTGCAGGATCTTGAGCATTACCTTACTGGCATGAGAAATAAGGGCCACTGTACGGAAGTTTGAGCAGTCTTTCGCATTTCCCTTTTTTGGTATGGGGATATAAGTTGATTTTTTCCAGTCTGATGGCCATTCTTGTGTTTTCCATATTTGCTGGCAAATGGCCTGCATCACCTTGACAGCATCATCTTTTAAGATTTTAAACAGTTCAGCTGGGATCCCGTCGTCTCCTGCTGCCTTGTTGTTAGCAATGCTTCTTAAGGCCCATTCAACCTCACTCCTCAAGATGTCTGGTTCTAATTCATTCACCACACCGTCAAAACTATCCTCAATATTATTATCCTTCCTATACAGATCTTCTGTATAGTCTCGCCACCTTCTCTTGATCTCTTCAGCTTCTGTTAGGTCCCTGCCATCTTTGTTTCTTATCATACCAATTTTTGCCTGAAATTTACCTCCAATGTTTCTAATTTTCTGGAAGAGGTCTCTTGTCCTTCCTATTCTGTTGTCTTCTTCCACTTCCATGCATTGCTTATTTAAAAATAGTTCCTTATCTCTTCTGGCTAACCTCTGGAATTGCGCATTTAACTGGGCATATCTCCCCTTATCCCTGTTTCCTTTTGCTTTCCTCCTTTCTTGGGCTACTTCCAGTGTCTCAGCAGACAACCATTTTGCCTTCTTGGTTTTCTTTTTCTTTGGGACGTACTTTGTTGCCGCCTCCTGAACAATGTGTCGGACTTCTGTCCATAGTTCTTCTGGGACTCTGTTTACTAAATCTAGTCCTTCAAATCTGTTCTTCACTTCCACTGTATATACGCTAGGAATGTTAGTGAGATCATATCTAACTGGTCTGTGTATTTTCCCTGATCTCTTTAGTTTTATTCTAAATTGGCAATAAGAAGTTCGTGATCTGAGCTACAGTCAGCCCCAGGTCTTGTTTTCACCGACTGGATGGATGTCCGCCACCTTTGGCTGCAAAGGATGTAGTCAATCTGATTTCGGTGTTGACCATCTGGTGAAGTCCATGTATAAAGCCGTCTTTTAGGTTGTTGGAAGAGAGTATTCGTTATACACAGCGAGTTTTCCTGGCAAAATTCTATCAGCCTGCGTCCCGCTTCATTTTGTTCTCCCAGACCATGCTTGCCTGTGATTCCAGTTGTCATTTGACTTCCCACCTTGGCATTCCAGTCTCCTGTAATGAAAATAATGTCTCTTTTTGGTGTATTATCCAGTAGGTCCTGCAGATCCTCATAGAACTGATCTACTTCTGCTTCTTCAGCAGCTGTGGTTGGGGCGTATATTTGGATCACTGTAATGTTGAAAGGCTTTCCTTGCACTCGAATTGAGATCATTCTGTCACTTTTTGGTTGTATCCAAGCACCGCTTTAGCGAATTTCTTATTAATTATGAAGGCTACTCCATTTCTTCGATGTTCCTCTTGTCCGCAGTAGTAGATCTGGTGGTCATCTGATGTGAAGTGGCCCATTCCAGTCCATTTTAGTTCGCTGACCCCCAGAATGTCTATCTTTAGTCTTGACATCTCACCAATAACAACATCCAATTTGCCCTGGCTCATAGATCTTACATTCCAGGTTCCTATGGTGTGTTGATCTTTAGAGCATCGGATTCGTCGTTCACCTCCAGTACCGTCGGCCGCTAGCCTTCCTTTCGGCTTTGAGCTAGCTGCGTCATCACATCTGGGGCTAGTTGAACTTATCCTCTGCTCCTCCCCAGTAGCATTTTGGCCATCTTCCGACCTGGGAGTCCCATCTTCCAATGGCATACCGACATATCTCTGGTTGTACTGGTCCATTTAGTTTTCTTGGCAAGGATACTGGGTGGTTTGCCATTGCCTTCCCCAGGGATCACGCTTGGTCTGACCTCTCTGCCACGACCGTCCCGTCTTGGGTGGCCCTTCACGGTTTCGCTCATGACATCATTGAGGTGCTCAAGCTCCAGCGCCCCGACAAGGCGGTGATCCTTTGCTGGAGAGTTAGTATATACAGTTAGTAAGTACATACTAACTGTATATACGTAGGGGTTAGGGGTTCTTGTACTAGCACCAGGATCTGATTGGAGGATTCGTTTTCCATTGATTCAGCAGCGTACATTTTGGGGGCACAGCCCAAATAGCCTTGAATCCAACACATATGTCCTTGATCCAGGACCCAGATAGCTCACAACAGCTGACAGGAAATTTAAAGGTGATGTAAGTGTCTTCCCTCTATTCTGACCATTAGTTCATATTCTGAACACTAAAACGTCATAATCCTATCTGATCATGTTGTCGAAGGCTTTCATGGCTGGAATCACTGGGTTATTGTAGGTTTTTCGGGCTGTATGGCCATGTTCCAGAAGCATTCTCTTCTAATGTTTCGCCTGCACGTATGCCAGGCATCCTCAGATCTTATCTGATCATTTCAACATTTAATAAGTGAGATATTCATTGCTCGTTTGAAAGCCTAGTGAATTCAGTGGATAAATTTTGCAAATGGGCTTTCCTGTCCTTCTGAGCATAGATATTTTCATACCTGAAAAAAGAGTTGGCATAAAAATACTCTTTCACACTCAGACCTGTCTGTCAGGAGCACTTTATTAATAGTACTCTAAGGGTAATGCCTCAAAACAGGGAAAGTATACCTTTTCTCAAATCTGTCTAAAGCTGACTACTACAAATCATTTAGTACTTAATACCAGGTGGGCCCTATTGCCTCTGTGTGTATGTGCAAACTTGCAAGAGAAAGGCAAAGGAAAGAATCAGACCACAGAGGGTGAAAGTGGGGAAGGAGGTGGGGTGGAAGAAAAGGAGGGCTGGAGGAGCCATCCAGAGTAGGAGGTGTGGACATCCTCATGGCTGGCTCCCAATTCAGTCTTGGGAGGGGGGAACATGCCTGCTGAAGATTGGCTGTCGTCACCCCCCAAGAGGCTGCTTTGGACGCTTGCAGGGGGTGGTGCTAGACAGCCCAGAGCAGAAACTTTAAACTTTTTTATAGCTCCATCCAGTCGATAGTGCCAGATACAAACCCATAACCCTGGGGAGAAGAGGCTTGCTTTCCTAGGCCGAGGCACCCCGGTTTCAAGAGTCAGGTGTTGGCTTTCACTCGGCTTGGCTGGTGTTGACTCCTATTGGCATCTGCAGCAACTTTCTCCCACATTACACCTCCCACCCCAGCCAGGAACTAAGGCAGCACAGAGAGGAGTGTCTGTTGAGCCATGGTGTCACCTTGCCACAGGAATGCCCTGGGTGCATTGCTGCTGGTGCTAGTCCAAGGCTGGTCGCAATCTGTGAGTCAGGAGTACGACTACTACAGCTGGCCCTCAGACAACTTCCAGCATGGTCGCTTTTATACGAAGCAGCCGCAGTGTGTGGACATCCCAGCTGACATGCAGCTCTGCCACAATGTGGGCTACAAGCGCATGCGCCTGCCTAACCTGTTGGAGCACGAATCCATGCCTGAGGTCAAGCAGCAAGCCAGCAGCTGGGTGCCTCTGCTGGCCAAGCGGTGCCACTCGGACACACAAGTTTTCCTCTGCTCCCTGTTTGCACCTGTCTGTCTCGACCGGCCTATCTATCCATGCCGTTCACTTTGCGAAGTGGTGCGTGACTCCTGTGCTCCTGTCATGGAATCCTATGGCTTCCCCTGGCCTGAGATGCTCAACTGCAACAAGTTTCCTTTTGACAATGATTTGTGCATCACGGTGCAATTTGGAAACAGCCAGGCTACCCAGCCACCAGGTAAAGAGCTTTTATTAAGAGGTGTTGCTTTGGGCTAGCCATTTATCATGTTTAGATTTTCCAGAAACCCATGCATATTTCAAAACAGGAAAAGTTAACTTTTTTTTTTACGGTGGCTCCCAGAATCCCCTAGACATCATGGCCATTGAGTGTGGAATTCTGGGAATTGTAATCCTCAAAAGGAAAATTTTCCATGTTCTGTATCAAAATAGGGTGAGTTGAAAATACCATTTGATAGACTGCTGCCACTTTATCAAATACAATGTGTAAGAACCTTCAAGGCCTTGACCTTTCAATAACTAATAGAGTTGTACAGGGATCGGACACACATGGCTTGGTCTAGTTCTGGCATTTGATCCTATGCCAACTACTAATCAGAGCCCATTCCGAGAGTGGAAGCCACTAAGGAATTTCCAGCTTAGTATCATCTTTGCTCCTTTGTCAAATCTCAGAACTGGGCAAGCGTTTACCAAAATCTGTCATGAGGCATTAAGAAAACCATTTGTCATACTTAGAAAATTATAGAACAGACTTTCATTCCACTGTTTTCAAACCTGCTGTTTTCCCACTTTCCACATTTCTTTCTCAACTCATAGCGCCTCCCTTGCGCCTATTTGAAGCTCTCTGTTAAGGTAGAGCAGTGTTTGTCAACCTGGAGGGTCAGGACCCCTGGGGGGGAGGGGGTCACGAGGGGGTGCCAGAGGGGTCGCCAAGGACCATCAGAAAACACAGTATTTTCTGTTGGTCAAGGGGGTTCTCTTTGGGAAGTTTTACCCAGTTCTCTCGTTGGTGGGGTTCAGAATGCTCTTTGATTGTAGGTGAACTATAAATCCCAGAAACTACAATTCCCATATATCAACGTCTATTTTCCCCAAACTCCACCAATATTCACATTTGGGAATATTGTGTATTCATCCCAAGTTTTGTCCAGATCCATCACTGTTTGAGTCCACAGTGTTCTCTGGATGTAGGTGAACTACAACTCCAAAACTCAAGGTCAGTGCCCACCAAACCCTTCCAGTATTTTCTGTTGGTCATGGGAATTCTGTGTGCCAAGTCTGGCTCAATCCATCGTCGGTGGAGTTCAGAATGCTCTTTGATTGTAGGTGAACTATAAATCTCAGCAACTACAACTCCCAAATGACAAAATCCCCCCAAACCTCACCAATATTCAAATTTGGGCAAATGAAAATGCATCTTGCAGATCAGATATTTTCATTACAATTCACAACAGTAGCAAAATTACAGTTATGAAGTAGCAACGAACATAATGTTATGGTTGGGAATCACCACAACATGAGGAACTGTATTAAGGGGTCACGGCATCAGGAAGATTGAGAACCACTGAGGTAGACTTTATTTATGGCCATGGAAGTAGTTTCTAGCCAAGCTTTCAAATCATAGTGAGGACACTAATTTGAATAACCAAAGCCAGTTTGGGTCAAAAGTATGGAAAGGCTGCATATGTGACCAACACATATATGTATAATTGTATATGCATGGATACATATATGTGTATGTGTGTTGTATATCCATAAACACACCCCTTTGTATGCAGTCATTAGCCTTTCTTGGCACTCAACCAGGTGGAGGCAGTGTTTCTTCAAAGCAGAAGAAAGAGAAATTTCAAAGAGATTCAGGGCATGGTGCAAGACATTGACAAAGCTGAAAATAGAAGCCAGACATTCCTGCCTTATCAGTTCATCCTCCTAGTGATAATGAGATGGTCCACTCAGTAGACTGAGATGTTGCTTTACATTTTGCACACAGTATATGATAGCAATTGAAAGCACATACATTTACACGTGCATATATAATGGGATGGGCAACTTGTGACCCTCTAATGGACTGTAATTCCCATCAGTCTTTTCAGCATGATGGAATTGCAGTCCATCAACAGCAGAAAAGTAATGCATAACACTCATCTGGTACATGGGCACCTTGTTTGATATACACATGGTAATGATGGTAATCAACATTTTTATTGTACATTCAAGAATTCAGTTTTGCATTTTTATAATGTTTTTATTGATTTTATTATACATACATCTATAAGTTAAAACACTGAATGGATACAGAAGGGGTTGATGGACTGTAGGCGTAGGGACGGGGGTGGTGAGGGAAGGGGGGGCTGGGTCTGGGAGGGGATGGGACCGGGGGAGGGGGGAGTGTGGATACTTCCAGGATTCACCCAGAAAGCTCTTCATCATATTACTCTTATATACATTAATCAAAATCATTTATACATTCAGTTTTGCATCTTGACGAACATGAGCTTCAATGGATAGGTTTGCATCACTGTCCTCTTGTAGGCCAAATACATTATTTTGCTCTCGAAATCTTAGGAGCTAAATCCAATCTCGCTGAATCAATGGGTGGGTAAACATTTATGTAAGTTCCTTTGATTCAGTGGTGTGTGCTGTAATTGCAATAAAGATTTCCATTTACCCTTTTTATGTTTGTTGGTTTGTTTGATGAAGTGATCACCAAATATTTGTAATGTATACAAATCTGGTTACTTGGCAGTATTTATTTATTTATTTTAGTAAAATAATAATACAAATAATAATAAAGTTTCATTTATACCCCGCCACCATCTCCCCGAAGTGTCATGTTGCCAGGTCTCTGCCTTATTTAGGTAGAGCTGAACCAAACTCCCAGTTTTATCAAACAGTTTAATTAAAACAGCACTTACTTGCTGGCTGTTTTAACAGACCAAAACATAAAACATAAAGATAGCACCCAGCCACAGAATAAACAAAAACTGATAGCAAAAACAACTCCGTAGTCAAAAGGGTCCAGTCCAGTGGTCAAATGCCGAGAGTTCAATAAACAAAGTCCAGGGATCAAGAGTCTATACCATAGTCAAAAGCCAGTCCAAAGGTTCAAGGTTCCAGGTTTCCAAGATTACAGGGGACAGGTCAGGATACCGAAAAATCCAACAGACCTGGGGAAAAAACCAGCAGCATTTACCACCAAAATACAATAAATACTTTTCTCCCAAAGATCAGTCTCAAGGTTAACTCCTTAAATCCAGTAACACCCCGCTGCAACCCATCTCCTGCACACCTCCAGCCCTAATTGCTTTCACCCATGAATTCCCACTTACAGATTACCAAACCCTGTAGAACTAATACATTAACCCTTCCATCACCAACCATCAACTGCAGAACATATGACACAAAGGGACTCGGGGCGGCAAACATGAGGCCAAGCCCAAGAATTACAATAAGGCAAAATAAAATACATACAACAGACAATAACATCAAATAAAATACTAAATAATAACAAAGTGATACACTAAAATAAAAACAATAACATGATTACCAAATATAAAATGATAAAGGAATTAAAGAAAGCAAGCTGGGCCAAATGTAAAGGATAAATTTATAAACCCCCTGGGTGAGATAGATAAATAACATGGTGTGTCTAGTGGAAGACTCAGGTGGGATAAACAACGGGGTTAATCTTCACTGAGGGATGAGATAAAGTTTGTCTCACTCTATATCCAAGATATAGATGAAGTATGTCTCACTCTATATCCGGGGACCCCAGGCAGTGTACAATAAAAATAGTTTTAAACAAATTAAATCAACAATATATTAAGCAACTTGACAAATTAAAACCAGACTATCTAATTTGTGTTCCATCAATGGGAGTAATACAAGGGGCAAGGACATCCATGCCTTGGAGGCTTGATTGGGGTAAACACCGACATGGCTTAATATTAAACCCTTAACAATATAAAATAGTGTACATGTGATGATTTGGATGAAATCATTTAGACCTCAAAGGGTTTAATATAAAGCCATGTCAGTATTTATCCCAAGCAAGCCTCCAAGGCATGGATGTCCTTGCCCCTTGTATTACTCCTGTTGATGGAACACAAATGAAGAACTCCCCAGCAGATTTCATTCCTCAGGTGGACATATATTAGGGAGATGGCTTCCTGCAGATGTTGAGGTACCAAACGATTAAAATGTTAAAACCAGCATCTTGTTTGTACCAGAAGCAGCTTGTGCAATTCCTTCAAAATTGATGTAATATTACTACTATTTGGTGTTCCTGTCAGCAGTCTAGCTGCTGACAGGAACACCAAATATTAGTAATATTGTACTAAAGCAGCCCACATAAAATATATTGCAGTCATCCACTGGGAAGTTGCTAGTACATGGATAGTAGACTTGTGCATGGAATTTGTTTCTTCCGTTTCCTCCGTTACTTTCGGTACCTTTGGTGCTTTAGGAGCCCATAATGGTAAAGGCCCTTCCTGTACAAAAACCCGCCCAACACAAAAGCAAGCAGGAGCCGATCTTGGCTCCTCCTCTGCTTTTTGGCATCACGGTTTAATCTTTTTTATTAATCCCCCAGTAAACAAAAAGAAAACCCTCATTCCCTGAAAACTACTCTCCTCTTCCATGAAGTCATCGCTCTTCCTTACCTGAAAGTGAGAAGCCTTCTTAAAATGCCTTGAAAAGAGTGTGTGTCTGCTGGCATGGTGCAGCCCAGGAGAGGAAGTTCATACGCTTGCCTGCAGCCAAGTGCCTCTCTTCTGGAGTATGAAACAAAGAACTTGAATCCTTGCCATGGAAAGAGTGCATGTGGCATGCAGGCCCGGGAGAGGAAGAGTATGCCTGTCTGCGGCTAAGCACCTCTCCTCTAGAGTAAGAAACAGAACTTTCCTCCATGTCTTAGAAAGAGTGTATGTCACATGCAGCCCCGAGAAAGAAATACTCTCAAAACAGTTTAAATTAGAGTTACATTAGAAATGGCTGGCACCAGTGTTCCTTTAAGATGCATCGTGACAGCCATATAGTGCAAGTGGAGTTGGCCAGCATTCCGAATGGGTAACCTGTTTTAGTCCTCTTTCTTTCCGTACACTAAAGCACACCAGTGCATTTTTAGAAGTGTCTTAAAGGAGAGGAGGGTGGAGCCATTTTTACTTCTTTAAGAAGGGAGTTCCAGAGACGGGGAGCGATCACAGAGAAGGACCCCTCTCTCGTTCCCACCAACTGGGCCTGTGACAGGGGTAGAACCGAGAAGAGGGCCTCCTCCATTGACCGCAATGCCCGGGATGGTCTGTATGGGGAGATACAATTAGACAAATAGCCTGGACCCAAACTGGTTATGTTTCTCTTTATTCATCTTAATTTGCTTTTTTATTGCTGTGTTTCAGTATTAATATCAAGACAATACAGAGGACGTGATATTGTATGGGGTATAATATTCATTAGACCTATTTTAATAGTAACTCTCAAGCAACCAGAAGCTACCTTTATCGGGCATCTACCAATCCTCAAGGGTGCTGGATGACTGAGAGTCTACTGTATTTTTTACATTGGCATACAAACTGGAATTTTTGTACGGTCACCTTGACCTGCAGGAGTGAGAAAAGATCTACTGAAATATCTGAAATACAACCATCTAAAATCACCTTTGTTCTTTTTATCTCTCTCGTTTTCTCCCTGTTTTACTTTTTCTTTCTTTTATCTTCACCGAATAGAAGTTTAGTGATGTTACTAACTGAACCCATCCTTCAGGTAACTGAAGCTTAACAAACTATAGATCAGTGGCCCTCTGAGTTCCCTTAGTGTAGACAAGTTCTAAAGATATCTAAGGGGACATTTAAGCAGTCTGGGTAGCTAGTAGTTCTGGCCTTCCAGATACTGAAGAAAAGCAATTACTTTTGTTATCGGGTATGCTGGCTAAGGCTCATGGGAATTACTGTCCAAAAACTTCTACTCTAATCGGAGGTCATACTATACATAGCTTGAGCTCCATAGAGAAAACGGATTTTGAGATTTATTGATAGCTGCTCTAGCCATAGCATTACAATATTTGGCCTGTACAAACAGTAGTGCCACTAGGTAGGTGTGGGAGGTGCAAACTGCACCGGATGACACCATCATAGGAAATAAGGACAAAATGGCTCTCTAAAATTGTGTACATTTTAAATTTACAAATATGCCTGTAGTTGAATATAGGTACAAAAGCATTTTTCATAAGCCCAGCTTACATGTGCTTTATCAATGTACCTAAAAGATTAAAACTCTATGTTGATTTACTTTTTGAACCTTCTAATGCACATGCACTCCAGTCACAGCTGTCATAATTACTCATTTATAGTGATGCTTCAAATGATGTGGTTTCACCTGCATGTACAACAAGCACACGTTGTTTTTGTTGCTGCGGGGTGTATTACAGTCACTGATTTTGCCAAATTTGTTGATATTTTAGTAGCAATATTGTGGTATGGTACCATGTGGGAGGAGGTTGATAGAGATGGCACCATGTCATCCCCATGACTAGGGTTCATGGGAGACATAAACCCTAGTGATGCCAATGTATACAAGGGAGTTCCCTTCAGTCAACCTAGACTACAGTTATGTCTTTGTCCTTGGTTCTGTCTGTCCTGAGACTATATTAGCCAGATTGTTTGTCCTGCACAACAAAAATGCCCCATAATTTTATAACAACAACAACAACAACACTTTATATGTATTCTGCCCTATCTCCCCGAGAGGATTTAGGGATACAGACACAGGCAAACATTCAATGCCTTGAAACAGTGAAACAGATACACAGATAAAAGTAAACACTTCCCCTTCATCTCCGACCCCAGAGGTGGAGCTCATCTCCATTTCTAAGCTAAAGAACCTGCATTGTTCTCAGACACCTCCTGGTCATATGGCTAGCGTGACTACATGGAATGCCATTTACCTTCCCGGCGGGACAGTACCTATTGATCTACTGACATTTGCATGTTTTCAAACTGCTAGGTTGGCAAAAACTGGAGCTAACACCAGGAGCTCACACCATCCCACGGATTCGAAGCACCAACCTTCTGGTCAGCAAGTTCAGCAGCCCAGCAGTTTAACCTGTTGCACCACAAGCTTTCTTTTTAATGTTTATCTGTTTAAAACCCAAATATGGTAAATTTGAATAGAAATGTACCTAGCTGAAGTAGGCCTGGTGACCTATATAAAAGGGGAAACTGATAAGTGGAGAAAAGTTGAGTAACACAAGAAATGAGCATTTCCCCCTTTGATTGTGAGTTCCTGCATTTCAGGGATTCAATTTGATGATTCTTGTGGCATCTTCTAACTCTATGATTCTATGATACCCTAAAATGAAGTTTCATCCAATGGTTCAGAAGTCTTTAGATGAGCCAAACTTCTAAACTTTCTATTAGGTTTAGGATTCTTCATGACAAGTAAAAAGAAGTTCATGACAATATTCAGAAATCTGAGACTGGGGATAACCATCATAATGCCTGGTTGAACGTTAGAATTTACGAAGCAAAGCAAGTTGATTGTGGGAATCTGGAAGGCAAAGATGCACAAGACAGTCCAGGGTTGTGATGCACTTTTTCTCACACGTTTCCTCCCTTACAGTGTCAAAGATCTGCACCCAGTGTGAGATGGAGCACAAAGCAGATGGCATAATGGAGCAAATGTGTTCAAGTGACTTTGGTAAGCCATCAATGCAAAGCAGATTTGGGGCTCATGCAGTCCTCCAGATGTTGCTAGATCAAAATGTCTGACATCAGTGCTTCCCAACCTTTGGTCCTCCAGGAGTTTTGGACACCAGCTCCAACAATCCCTATCAGATGCTAAACTGGCTGGGATTTCTGGGAATTGAAGTCCAAAACACCAAAGGCCCAAAGGTTGGGAACCACTGCTCTAAATTATTGGCTATGCTGGCTAGAACTGCTAGGACTTGCAATCCAACAACATCTGAAGGTGCATGTCTTCTACCCCTAATTCAAAGGAACTAGGAAGCTCTCTCTCTATATATATATGAGTTGTTTGGAAATGTATCACCTGTTTGTTGCTCCCATTATATACAGTGGCAGAATAAAATGGCGTTCCTTATATGAAATGGCAAAATTGGGTTTCCCTTTTGAATTGTTGTGGGAGGGGGAGATCTGCGGATGGTGGAATCCATGGATACAGAAGGCCAACTATACTAATAATCTATATATGAGGTACTTCATCAAAAATTAGTCCTTGAGTCTTCTTTCCCGCCTAAAGGATATTTGCTGATAGATAATTTCTCAATTGCAAAACAGCTCACAGTCCCACTAGCTGGGACCAGTTAGTTTTATTCATCAGTCTTTTTCATCTGATTTTGGGATGCTTTTCATGTGGGATTTTTCCTCTATGAATGATCTATCCTGAGCCATCCTTCAAAGTCCACTTACATGGAAAATCTAAGGATGACTCAGATGGTAAACAGACACAACTGTAGTAGGCTACATGCTGCTCAATTCAAGAAAATCATTGCCAGCTGGAACTACCTCCATCGACCTACTAATTCACATTTCCCTGTATGACCACTACACCACCACCATCTGATGTGGCCAAAAGAAGGCTTGACCACATCTTGGTCCTGTTCCCTGTGCTTCGTAGAGCAAAGAGAAACCCTGAAATCCTGCACCTAATATGGATACGCTCCCTAGTAAAGCTGTGATGGGTTTTATAAATAACCAATGACCCAAAGCTTAATAGATAGTGGTTTGGCCTTGTTGCAAAAATCAATCAGTCATGTATACAATAGCAATCAAAAGAAAGTCAAGGAAGATTAACTACATCGCTCCTCCATTCAGTCACAGGGAGAGGAAGCAAGCCAAGGATGCATCTATACTGTACAATTAATGTAGATTGACACAGCTTTAATTGCCAAGACTCAATGGTATGGAATCTTGGGAGTTGTAGTTTGGTGAGGAACCACACTCTTTTGCAGGTGAAGCTAAAGACCTTGTAAAGCTACAACTCCCATGATACCATAGCATAGAGATTTGGCAATTACAGTGGTGTCAAACTATATGAATTGCAGTGCACATGAACTCCAAGTTGTAAATAACTGCCCTATGACACTACCACTGCCAATTGTTTCTTTTGCTTTCTGTCTTTGTTAATAGGGCTAAACTCTCAAAATCAAATAAAACAGTCCTACAGCTCCTGCCCTGTGAACCCATCTTGTTCTTCCTTCCTTTCAGCCCGTTCAAGTGCTATGTAAGCCACGAATACTACCCATTATTCATTTCTCCTCCACAGTGGTTAAGTTGCGCATCAAGGAAATCAAGAAGGAGAATGGTGAGAGACGACTAGTAGCTGCTCAGAAGAAGAAAAAGCTACTCAAAGTGGGACCACTGAAACGCAAGGATACCAAGAAGTTAGTGTTGCATATGAAGAATGCAGGTGCCTGCCCTTGCCCACAGCTTGATGACCTCAGTGGTAGCTTCCTAGTGATGGGTCGCAAGGTGGGTGGGAGGTTGCTGGTCTTGGCTATTTATCGCTGGGAGAAGAAGAACAAAGAGATGAAATTTGCTGTCAAATTCATGTTTTCCTACCCCTGTTCCATGCACTACCCCTTCTTCTATGGAGCTGATCCCCACTGAGCTCTGAGATCCTTCCTCACTCTTCTTCAGAATACTCTCTACACTTTTAGTCCCCTTCTTTATAAAAGTAGGTTTACGCCAAATCATACACCTTGGGAATTGCAAGGATCCTTCCTTTCATAGTTCATACTCCATTTAGTTCCAAATCTTTACAAGGGCTTCATATCCATCAGCAGAAACTCTCAACACTTCTTTACTGGAAAATAGGAAACATCTTACCAACTGGGTTGTTTTAGGTTTTTCAGGCTGTATGGCCATGTTCTAGAAGCATTCTCTCCTGACAGTTCGCCTGCATCTGTGGCAGGCATCCTCAGAGATTGTGAGGTCAGACTTCACAACCTCTGAGGATGCCTGCCACAGATGCAGGCCAAACATCAGGAGAGAATGCTTCTAGAGCATGGCCATACAGCCCGAAAAACCTACATCAACCCAGTGATTCTGGCTTTGAAAGCCTTTAACAATACTGTTACCAACGCTAAGCAGCAACTCATCCAGATATCTTCTTCCCAGTAATGACTTGTTAGCCTGCAGGCTAATGACATTTTAGCCTGCAGTAATGACTTGTTAGCCTTAAGACGAATATTTAAAGAAAACACCACCACCATTTTCTACCGAGAAAAATGTCTTAACATTCATGAACATTTGAGTTGAGCAATCCTGCTTTGTTAACGTTTGCAGCCTCTTGAACCTGCTAAGTATAGATGCCCAGTCCCATAACAGTGGCTTGCCCACCCTTGGTCTAGAATAGTGGTTCTCAACTTGTGGGTCCTCAGGTGTTTTGGTCTACAACTCCCAGAAATCCCAGTCAGTTTACCAGCCGTTAGGATTTCTAGGAGTTGAAAGCCAAAACATCTGGTGACCCACAGATTGGGAACCACTTCTCTAGAGAATGTAAACTGCCAGATTCCAGCATTGTAATAGGAACTACAATATCCAATTGGCATTTTATTGGGCTGACAGACCCCAGTTGTAGCATTTCCTCCTTCCGACTCCTATCTATCTACTCCACATGTTTCCAAGTCATGTTGAACAAAGGTGGACAGAAAGTAGATCCTAATCTGCTGATATATGTCTGGGTGATTTGCAGTAGATTGGCAAGAGTTTCTAACTCTCAATTCTTTAGCAACAACAATGACAAAATGACTTTTCCTCACCTAAATAAGGCATTGAAACAAAGATAGCCATTGATAATCAGTGGTAGATTACATGAGGCCAGATGAAAAATAATATTTTCAGTGATAAATATATAACATTTGCATCTCACTTGAGTTTCTGGGGAGAAAGTTCCCCACAAATTAGATCCTAAAGGCTTAAAATATGCCCATTCCTGACATAATATGTAAAGTGCAGGTTGGGCAGTTCCTATCTTACATGACTTCGTTGGAAGGGAAACAAATAATAATAATAATAATAACAACAACAACAACAACAACAACAACACTTTATTTATATTCCGCCCTTCTCCGCGAAGGGCCTCAGAGCGGATTACAGTATATATAAAGCAGACACAGGCAAACATTCAATGCCTTAGTTACAATCATATACAATGAGACACAAAAACACAGACAAAGGCAAGAGCTTCTCCTTTCATTTCTGGCTTTGGAGACAGTGCTCATCTCTGGCTCTGGGGAGATGCTCTTCTCCATTTTTAAGCTGCGGAGCCTGTCTGCATTGTCAACTCCTGGTTGTGTGGCTGGCATGATTGCTTGGAGCATCATTTTGCTGGCTGAAGCAGTACCTATTTATCTACTCACATTTGCATGTTTTCAAACTGCTAGGTTGGCAGGAACTAGGACTAACAACAGGAGCTCACTCCGTCCCTCAGATTTAAACTGCCAACCTTTAGGTCAGCAGTTCAGCAGCCCAAGGGTTTAACCCATTGCGCCACCCCAATTAACACTAACAATCTCAGATTCTCACTTCTTTTTGCTATTGATCCTTATCCTCGGCCTCCCACTATCATGATCGCTGGCTTGATTTTTGCAAGCACCTTTCAAGCAGTGTAGGTAAAATAAAACAAGATGTGAGGTTGCCCCTCAGGACTGCTCCCGAGGCAAACACTCATGCAGGTGCATCCATCGTGCCTCCCAGCCAGAGACCAGAATAGCCCATGGCCATAATTCTTAATTGTTAATTGGAGAGGGTTTTCAGTAGCCACTTAACTTCACTAGATGATTTAACTGAAATGGGCCTATTAGTTCTTTTGTTAATTGCATTTCCCCCTTTCCAGCCCTCATCTCCTCATTTACTAAGTTACACTTGCTGTATGACTACATCAAATGTATGAGCAGAGCCAGACTACAAGAATAACTCTGCCTTGTGTGTGTAGCAGTGAGGGTGCCAAGCCACCAACTGGGCCTGCTGGGTATCTGTATCCACCACGCAGGATGCCAGACCACCAACTGAGCCCAGTGGATGGCAAACAGTGTGTGTATGTGTCTTCTGCGGACCCCTCCATCTGGCATATTTCCAGGTCTCTGAGTGCTGGGATCAGCTGGCACACAATCTTGGAATTAATATTTATAGAATCAGCACTGCCAGTGATAGAGCAGATCGGGGCAGGGAAACTGCCCAACACAAAGCAAGCTGTGAGGATTGATCCTGACTTTGCACAGGAACTAAATTTTGCTGGAGGAAACAAGGAGGTTGGCTTGGGGAGGGGGGTCTTCAAAAACATCTCTGTCACTCATTAATCCATGACTTTCAGATGTTCTGTTTTCATTACCTGGTACCATAAACTGTACAGAATGTATCGTTGCAGCCAGAGACTAGAATTCCTGGTCCTTGGCTGCAATTGCATTTCATGACTCAGTTTCCCTTGCATAATACTAAGCTCCAGTTCTTTCAAACTACATCCACTTAAGCAGAGTGAATTTATAATCATAGGTGCAAAGATGATCATTTATCACAAGATAGGATCTGAAAAGAAGGAGGTAAATCTTGAGATCCCTTCCAGAGTGCCTCTTTCTTAAACAGAAAGCACACACTTAAGAAAAGCTTCTCCGATTCTACTTCCCCTGAAATGTTCCCCATAGCTCAAATATACTTTATCCTCCAGATTTTACTTTTTTTCCTTTCCTGTCAAGCACTGAGTCAAAGTTTGATCCTCTTTTTTTAATATTTATACAAGCCAAGCATAAACACTGACTAAAACTTGATGGAAAACAACTCTTAAGGATATTCCCATGGCTTCAATGGTGCTAAAGGAAGTCATACCCCATCTAACGTCTATGGCTTCTCTATCAGTCAGTTCACGTTTACTAATCTCACCCAGTCTTACTGAGATCAGTTGCTTATTTGTTCTACTGGATTTCATCAAGATCTATAATCTGTTAAGGTGTTCTTAATGAATATTAGTTTCTGAATCTTCAAGCTCAATTACCCCAGATGTACTAGGGTTATCTGGAAAATAAGGTTACAAGATTTTTTTAAAATACCAAGAATGAATATATTTTAATAAGACTTACATGGATTGTAGCATAGATATTACATTATTTTTCCACATAATCACCATTCAGTTCAATACATTTTGTCATCCGTGGGGCGGGTTTTTGATACCTGTGTCATAGAAGTTTCCCTCCGACTTTTTCAACCAGTTCGCCACTTCGATTTTCACTTCGGTGTCACTAGAAAAGTGTTTTCCACCAAGGTATTCCTTTAATTTAGTGAACAGATGATAGTCACTGGGTGCGAGATCGGGGCTGTGAGAGAAGTGGCTTAAAACATCCCAACCAAATGAAGTTAACAACTCTTGTGTTGCATGAATGGTGTGCGGACGCGCGTTGTTATGAAGGAGACAGACTCCTGTCGTCAGCATCCCACGATGTTTGTTTTGGATAGCGCTGTGAAGTTTCTTAATGATCTCACAATATATTCCATACCCATTTTGTCACATACTGTCTTAACATTACATCCTCTCCATAAACTGAAACTATTTCATGATGAATCGCAGCAGCGGTCATGCCCTTAGCATTTAGATGGCATATTACAATGCAAACTTTGCATATGAAGGGAAACGGAATAAGGATGCTCATCTCTAACCTTCACCATAATGTGAGTTGATGAGCTACTGATGACTGGCACTGCTCATTCGCTTCCGGTGGCTTCCTGCTACATGGCAGTGATACCAACTTCCCCCACGAAAGCTACGTGCCTTGTAACCTTACTTTCTGGATAACCCTCGTATCTTGCCATGGGCATAATCTAAATATGATTTTTTTAAAAAAACAAAGAAATCTGAAGGTCATTAAGAGACAAAGTATACTTTCCCACCAAAGTCTCACCATTAGCACAACACAGACATGTGTATAATACTATCCTGGTATCTTTCCCATCCATAATCCACAACGTCCACCATAGATGTGTCTGTCTTTAACCTATTTAAGATTTTTTTTCTCCTATGCCTCATAGATTCATTCTAAAATATCACAAGCATGTTTTTTCTTGTGCAGGAAAGCTCCAGATATACGAACTCTGCCCCCATGAGGCCACAGTTGCACATTTCCTGTAGATATCAGCTCAGGCTGTGCTAGTTTCTCCCGTGCTAGTTTTCCCTGTTATCTTGCGAACATCCTTTTAAAATTACTTGTACCCTAAAACTCAATTCTATAAACCAAATCCCTTTTGCTTTTTCAGCAATACTAATTACACATAAACCAGGATTCAAAACTTCAAGCCTGCCCAACCAGTGAAGGTGTATAACATATTCAGAGGTTGAGAAAGTTACTCATTTGGAACAAAACACTCCTAGTAGTCATGCTGGTTGGGGACTTCTGGGAACTGTAGTCCAAAAAATATTTTTTCCCCAGGACCAACACAATTTGCACATTTCAGTTTATACTACCTGCTCACCATTTTTGTTCTCATATTCCAACTGCACCTGGCAACATCCAACCCATCACTGCTCTGCTTCATGAAAACACATAGAAGCCCTTCTGTGTCTTGTAGTGAGGGCATTTCCTACTTTCATGCCTCAGACCACAGAAATGGATTAGCTGCCTGTTTGCTTTTGCCCAGTCGTGTTGTGCTGCTCAGTTGGAAACAGGTATAGGGGGAAAATGCCTACCTTGTGACAGTGCTTTCAGATCGCCATAAACATGGTGACTCATGGGACTCATGCTCAGTGCCCAGTAACCTAAAACAAGCAGTGCCTTCTTAACTGTGCAGAATGTTCCTAGTTTTTAATAAAATATCAAACTAGGACCGTGATCTATTTCAGTTTATTTTCAGACATTGAAAATTAATTTAGGAAATGGACACT